TTCTTTTTATATTTATTCAAAGATTTAAATTGATGCGCATTAATTTTGAACGCCAAAAAGTTTTTTAAATTAATGTGAACGAATTTTCTTTCAAATTTGTTCAAATTCCTATGAATCTCGAAATTAGTTTGCATTAATTCAAAAGTATTTAATAGTTCCAATGGGTTACCGAGAACCCCACTACAAAGCTCGTGTAAATGAGCCATGAGAGCTTCCCTGCCGTTTTATGCTAGCATTTCTAGTTAATAAATCAACATCTCCAGTGACCTGGCAATTAATGCTACAAAAATTTTTTCGATTTAAAAAAATAGACCGATGATAACACAAAAATTAAAAACTATAAGTTACACTTGATTTTCATGATAAATCCATTCTGTCTGTTTAAAAAGAGTCTGGTCATACTGAATAATGTTTGTTGGTTATAGTTATTTTGGAAAATATTCTTTTGATTGAACTGAATCTGATTTAATCGTTTGTGGACTTTTTATTTGATCCCAGTTTGCTAGATATACATCTCCATGTTCTGTCAACGAACTGATAAGCTTGAATTAAACATAGAGTTTCATCTACTGATTTTTTTACAGTCAGATCTTTGATAGTAACTATCTTAAAATTTGTTTTGGATCAATTATAAATAGTTCATATAAAGCTACGCTTCCATTTTCGATTAATACTCCATAGTAATGTGCGATGTCATTCGAAAAGTCAGATAAAAGAGGCTATTTCAAACTACCCAAGCCTTCTTGTTTACGCAGTGTACTGATCCAGGCTGGAATAATAAAAGAACAAAAAAATCGTATTTTCATTTCAGAATGATGCCGTTTGGAAGCATAACGTCAGTCTTTTTTAAGTTATCTAAATTCTTACCTTGATAGACGGAGTTATCCAGCACCTTCTGTATTTATCTTTTGTGTGAAATTTATGCAGAGATAAACTGTGAGCAGATAAATAGAAAAACTCTCAAATATCTTTTCAGTTAGACGATTATTGTTTTTTAAATAATTCTCCTAAAGTTTATTGGGTAAAACGCATATTTTCTGTGGTCATATCTGTAGTTATGGTTATAATCTTTACTAATATCCACAAAAAATGTTTCTGTATGTGTCACTTATTCACACTCAAAAATGTCATAAGTTAGTAGTAAGATCACAATTAAAGACTAAAGGACCCCGTCGGATAGGACCGCAAATCTGCTGCCCCCTTCAAACCAAACTATTATATTACAGTTGGATAGAGGATTGTTAGGCAAATATGAATCTATTGTCGATCCTCTAAAAGTGCTTGTCCTTGGGTAGAAAATCAAGTTTTTCTCATATAGTTTACTGGCCCAGCGAAATAATGGCAATTGCTATTGAACCATCATCAAAGCTTGACAATACAAAACTAATGTTATATGTTTCACCGATAACACTTGGAAATGTTTGACATAAATAATCTAAATGACCACCACCGCTTCCATAGTAATAATAGAGTCCATTATTAAACAGCACTTGTGATTGTTCATTTGTCACTGCTGTCCAACCGTAGGACGTTCCAGTACCAAAATTACCGTTCACTAATACAGATGATTGACTAGCCGCCTTGAACGATTATTTGTAGGGCCTTAAATGTCCAAAACCCATTATCATCTCGATTTGCAAATGAAAATGTTGTCAATTGTGATGTGGCTGTATAAGTAAAGGAAAACTCAGTGGGTTGAACCGTGGGATTAAATAGATGTAATAATATCGTTTGTTGTACACTACATATGGGTGTCGATGACGGCAACATTGATCCCGTTAAATCTAAAGTAAAACATGTTGGGTACCATAGATGATTTAAGAAAACTGTATAAGTTATTCCTGCCTATTTGCTTAAGAAAACATTTTTTCTAATCTTCTAATCAGACTAATCGTGGAATTTTAGTGCTGTTGAGAGAGTGTGGACTTTGATAAAGCATTATGCACAGAGACTTTAACAAAATTGTCAACAACTTTCAGAAGACCTAGTTGAAGAAGTATGAATGCAATTCCTGGAAAAAGAGCAATATTCGAAATATTTGTCAGCAGCAAATAATTTCGAATCCAGCGAGGAAAGCAGCAGGTAGTATACAACTCCAAGCACTAGGAGAATGTTTATCATGAATCCTTTTACTTATACATTAGAATTCGCCATACCTTCTAAATAAACTCCCGCATGTGGAAAATCCGAGAACAAAAACAATATTTTGGACTCGCCTAGTAGAAAAATTTCGGCGATTACAACAGGCTTTTTAGGGTGATTTGCAAATCGAGATGATAATGAGTTTTGAACATTTAAGGCCCTACAAATAATCGTTCAAGGCGGCTAGTCAATCATCTGTATTAGTGAACGGTAATTCTGGTACTGGAACATCCTACGGTTGGACAGCAGTGACAAATGAAGATGTTTCTCGAATAGCGCTTAAACGGAAAGAGACCAAAGTCTGCGTTTTTTCGTCCGTGTGTAGCCATGACCTAACCACATGATTCTATAGAAGAACAGAGGCGAAAATACATTTGCAAGTGGTGCGTGTCATCGAGCCTAGAACGAGCAGATTGTCAGACAATGAAAAAAAATGTTTTTTTTTGACATCAAGAAG